CTGCTAGTGAGGTCAATGGTCGACCCGTCCCTCAGCACCTGAACGGTGCCGGGTGCCGTATCGGTTGTTCGGAGGGAACAGGGAGGGGTGTAGTTGGTCAGTCTATTCTTTCTGTATCACTGCAGACATGAACTCGGGTCGATCGCAGCATCCCGCCCAATTGATGCGTATACGGTGGTTGAGATCAGCCCGGTGCTGCTGTTCTCCTCCGAAGAGTATGAAGCACATGGGAAGTATACCGTGCTCGATCCATATACTTTCAGGTGGCGAGATGGGCAGATGGCATTGGCGTTGGGACTCGGTGCGTCTCTTTTTACGCTTCGCCCTTCTGAGACCATGACATCTCGAAATAACGCATTTATCAATCGTGCTAAATCTATGCATCCAATCAGGATCACTCTTTAACCACTCCCAAAGTCCCAATGTTTCCTACATAATCAACACCAAGACAGAGTCGATTCGGTACACGACGATGCGGCGCATTGAGACAGGCGAAGAGCTGTGCATATTCTACGGTCACAAGCTCTGGTTTGACGTGATGGATGATGGGGCTGGTTCTGGTGACGTTGAAGAGGAGGAGGTAGATGATGGATGGGGAGGGCTGGCAAGGCTGAATGCCAACGAAAGAAGAAGTGAGATTGAGGACGATAGCTGGGCGAAGAGTGATGCGCAGAGTATAGATGGGAGGAAGGAAACCTTCGAGTCACTCTTCAAGAGAGGAGGTCCGGACGAGGTCGTTCCTGAGGAGCAACTGCCGCTCACGCGTGTTAAACTGACGGACGATGAGGAGGAAGAGGAGCTCAGCGCCGTTCATACCGGTAGGTCGACGCTCGATGCACGCCCCGCAATTTACGTACGCTTCTGACATTGCGCTTTTCAGAGTGCGCTTGGGTGGTGGATATCCCTGACGCTCGGCATATAACCACGATGTTAAAGTACGTCCTATTGTCATACAACCCACATTTTCACGCTCAGTCCCTGCTGCAGATGGTTGAAAGCTTCAGGCCTTGACACACCCTCTCTCCCGCACCTAAAGCGGATCCGCGAAGTCGATGCCATCTGTACCCTCATTCTGACCTATACATCTCTCTCCCCTTCTTGCCCCGCACTTCCGGCCGATCTCCCGCTTCCTGCACCCTACATTCTTCCGGTGCCCAGCTCCGCCGCCATCACGTCTACCTCCCTCTCGCTTAAGAACACCTTCTGGCCGACTATGTTCACGTCTCGGCGTAAGCTCGCTCCAGAGGCGTGGACGCGTAGGCGGGCGCTATGGGCATGTGAGAGGATGCTCAAGGTAGTGAAGGAGGCACAGAAGGCGGGAAGCCGGGGCGAGCTTCCTGTAGCGGCGTATGTACCGGCACCGTATGACGAGGAGACGAGGGAGGCAAGTCGGATGAGGAGGGAGTTCGTGGAGTATGATAGGAGGAGATCCGCATGCCATCCGTCAAGGCATGCGGTGATGAATGTCATACGTGCAGTGGCGGACTATCGCACGTCGTCGTCGTCGTCGTCGTCCGAAGCCCCTTCACTCAGCCTCGAGACAGAGCCAACTCCAAGCCCGTCTATGGACTTGCTTTCCGCAGACTCTTCTTCTACAACGCTCCCCTCACCTCAAACGCGCAATGGCTCACACTATCTGCTCACGTCGCTCACCCTTTTCACATCGCACGAGCCATGCGTTATGTGCAGCATGGCGCTGCTGCACTCTCGCGTGCGCGAGGTGTTCTATGCGCGGCGAATGCCGCAGACCGGCGGATGCGGCGGTATAGCATGTGTGCCCGCGTTGGAGGGTGTAAATCATCGGTTCGGGGTGAACGTGTGGAAAGGCGTTGTGATAAAAGGGAAACAGGCGGGGGAGGGGTTGGATGCGTAATTCCCTCACCGCCACTGAAGGTGAGATCCCGACACAGAAAACGAACACTACACAAGTTGATTAGTAGATAATATATTTTAGTATGCTTCAAGATTCTGCACATTGTCATCGTACATTGCAAGATTGCTCTTGCCCATTGTATCATCGCTTGTTCACATCGGAGATGAGCAAGCAGACAGCTGCAGAGGCAAGCGTCTCAGCATCTTTTCGTGTCACTAAGCTGACAGTGGCCAGTGATTAGCAACAGAGGCACTCCGTCTCCTGGTTGAGACTCATGCTCTACTGCTGTCGAAGCACTGCAATCCAACAGCCTCCGGATGCTAGTTCCTCGCCTGCTGCGGCACCCGTCTGTTCCGTGCCACATAAATTTTTTTGTCACTGCTCGCGTTTGTCTACACGTCTACGACGGAGGTCGCCCTCGCACTTCTACCACGAAAACCCGCATACAAGGCCACACTCGCGCTTCTCCGAGATCGGGGGGGAAGGGCAACGTCACTGCATCGACTTCCTGTGCAATGCTCCTTGACGCCCATGTGCGACGCTCGCGGAGGAAGCATGATTGGTGGTGATGGGGTGCTTGAGGCGGTAGATGCATGAGCGTCCGGTTTCCAGGACCGGCCACTACCTTGTGCGCACGAGGCGCGGTGCACGACTTGGTCGACAAAGCAGAGCAGGGCTTCCCCGGCGACACCTGTGCTGCCGTCTGGAATCGATGCATCTCTGACAGAAGGATGCTAGAGGACCCGCTAGCAGACGTGACGAGCATGATTGAAGACAATGGAGACATGGAGGCGATGGCGATGAGGTGAGGAGTTCGGTGACGATGAGTGGGATGAGCTCGGATTAGGTTAATGTCTG